GTCCTTTCTCTTCTTACAAATCTCTGTTGTTGGAGCAACCATAATTTCTGGAGGCAAGCTGTTCCACTGATTAATTGTTCTCCCGAACAGGAAATTTCTCCTCCGTTCTAGGTTGAATCTCTCCTTGATTAATTTCCATCCATTGCTTCTTGTTCTGCCTTCAGGTGCTTTGGAGAATAGCTGGACTCCCTCTCAATCCAATTGATTCTTAGATTACCGTAGTTCTTACATTGGCTGATTGCCTTTCAGATTCTCTTCGGGGAGTCAAAAAGCTCGATCAGGTTTTTTNCTATGCAGGGCCATTTTGGTGAAGGGGACGAGGTTTCGGGAAGTAGAAAATGCTGTATTCAGTGTATAAGACGCACCCAGATTTTCAGCCCCTTTTTTGAGGGGAAATTGTGCATCTTATACTCCCAAAAATATGGTATGCTGGTTGGGGAACATCTTTGCTTAATGACTGCTGCAAAAAAAGCTTGTAAAGGTGGACACAAAAACGGGGTGATCTGCTTAATGACCAACATGACATCACTGCAATTCTGGGATCAATTACAGTGGTAAGTTGGGAACCATTTGTAGTTTAATTAACAGTGGAAATGGATAATCTGGCCCATACAGGCTTGCAGCACTTCATTTAGTGACTGTTTGAAGTTACAAGGGCGCTAAAAAAGTGACTTATGACCGTCTTTCGCACTTATGACCATTGCATCATCTCCATGGTCATACGACCAGTGAATCACGATGGTTGCACTGTCCTGGGGTGGTGGGATCACCTTTCGTGACCTTCTGACCAAGTCAATGGGGAAGCCTGACTCACTTAACAACTGTGTTTTAGCAGCTGCAGTGATTCGCTTAGCAATGTGGCAAGGAAGGTCGTAAAACGGGGCAAAGCTCACTTAACAGCTGCCTTGCTTAGCAATGGAAATGTGGAGTTCAACTGCGATCAAAGGACTACCTGCAAGATAAAATTTAAATCAGCTTTTGAGAGCTCAGGCTTTTTAATCAAATTCCTTCGCTTGAAAAAGCGCCTGGGGTTTTCCATTTTTTTCTTTGCTTAACATAAAGATACCCTAAGATGAACACTAAAGAGGATGTTCATTTGAACTTCAAGGCCTGGAGTGGGGAAAGCTACTGAAGAGTCTCAGCTTTGAGTCCAACAGGGACAAAAAAAAAAAAGAGGAAGTGACAGATTGTAGCTGTGAGCCATGGATTCTCTCCGCAGGTGGGCACATGTCTGCCAACAGGGGCACCCCTGGGAGCCCACAGGATGTGCTTCGGAGGGCACCGATATTGTCTTTCAAACAACGAGGCCCCTGTCGTTTGCTTTAATGCCACAGAAAGGTCTGGGGGAGATGGTCCTCGGAACACCCCGAGAAGCCGTTTTCTTGCCAAAAGCAGGTTTGCAGCGAACGCAAGCAAGAGCAGCATGGCGTGTGGCATCAGGCCCAAACCGAAGGAGTTTGGTGCCCAGGTGAACCGAGAGGCTTTGCTGAGATCAAGTGCAACGCAAGCGAAGGGTTGTAGAAACGGGCACCGTTTCTCTTTCAAAAAGAGAAATATTGGGATAACAGCTTTATCCTGATTCCATAGATGCTTAAAAGAAACATGAAAATGGAGCCAGAGTTATTTTTCTTAGGCTTGATGGGCAAAGAGCTTGAATGAAAATTTGGGGATGGCCTAGAAACTAGGAGACGGTGAGTTCTAGTCCCGCTTTAGGCATGAAATCCAGCTGGGTGAGATTGGGCCAATCATCATGAGACTGGGAGTTCTAGTCCCACCTTAGGTATGAAAGCTGGATAGATGAGGTTGGGCCAATCACCAGGAAACAATGAGTTCTAGTCCCACCTTAGGCAAGAAAGCTGGGTGACGTTGGGCAATCACCAGGAGACAGTGAGTTCTAGTCCCACCTTAGGTATGAAAGCTGGATAGATGAGACTGGGCAAATCACCAGGAGACAGTGAGTTCTAGTCCCACCTTAGGCAAGAAAGCTGGGTGACGTTGGACAATCACCAGGAGACAGTGAGTTCTAGTCCCACCTTAGGCAAGAAAGTTGGATAGATGAGATTGGGCAAATCACCAGGAAACAGTGAGTTCTAGTCCCACCTTAGGCAAGAACATTAGCTGGGTGATTTTGGGCCAATCACCAGGAGACTGGGAGTTCTAGTTCTGCCCTAGGCTTGAAAGTTGGCTGGGTGACTTTGGGTTTTTGAAGAGAAATGAAGAGGAGGAAGGAATATTAGGTATGCCCCCTGGTTTATTTGGAAAAAAAATAATAATAATAAAAGTGATACACACCCCCAAACGCAGAGAATAAAATAAAATATCAAATAAAAAATATTTTTTTCAAATAAATAAATAATTTATTAAAAAAATATGGGAGGGTGAGGTATTCGGATGAAGCAGGCGGCTGAGAAAATGTGCAGGGCCCTGTAAAGCTTCCCTCATCCCCCCCCCCCCCCCCGTCTTCTCATCCAAGCCTTTTCCCAGGGTCAGCCCGACAGAATCGCCAGTAAAGCTGCAACTTTGACACAGGTGTGGGAGCAGCAGCCTGCAGAAGCCCCATGTGGCTTGGAAGCTCTAAAGCCACCGGCAAATCAGAGGAAGCAGCCGAGTAAAAAGGAAGCATTTTTTTTTCCCTTTGAAAGGGAGTGAACGCTGCAGAAGAAAAAGAGGGAGAGAGAGACACACAGCCGAGAAAAAAGCAAGCATAAAAAGGCAAGACGTGGAAAGTTGCAAATATTCCACAGGCTGGCCACAGGAACAGGGAAGAGGAAGGCAAGAGGACATTCCAGGGAGAGGAATTCAGGCAGAACAGTTGGTTTGTCAGAAGAAATCGCTGTTATGTGACGCGGGCAGTCCTCGACTTACGATCAAAATTGAGCCCAAAATATATGTTTTGTCAAGTGAGACGTTGGTTAAGTGAGTTTTGCCCCCTTTTACGACTTTCCTTCACACAGTTGTTAGGTGAATGATTGCACCTGATAAGTAAGTAATCTGGTTGTTAAGCAAATCAGAAGTTGGTCGCATGACAACCCCCCCCCCCAAACAGGGACACTGCAACCGTCATAAGTATGAACCAGTTGCCAAGCGTTTGAAATTTTGATGACGTGATCCTGGGAATGCTGCCAAGGTCGTAAAGTAGCATTTTTCAGTGCCGCTCTAACTTTGACCGGTCACTAAACAAACTGTTGTAAGTTGAGGGCTCCCTGTAGTATTGCTGTGTAGAGCAGGGGTGTCAAACTCAAGGTTCGCAGATTGGATCTGGCCTGCAGGGTACCTAAATCTGGCCCATGGGGTGGGTGTGGAAATAGCAAAGGATTGGTTTGCGGTGCCTCTGGCAGCCAAAACAGGGCGCAGGTGGGCTGCACGCAGCCCCCCCCCCCGTTTTTAGCCTGAGCAGCCTCCTGCAGCACTCTGCCAGCCAAAACGGGGTCCGTGCGGGCCCTGTGTGGCCCCCCACATGTAGGCTGTCTGGGGTGCTGCAGAAGGCGTCCATCCCATCTCACCCGCCCCCGCTTTCTGGCTCACAGAGGAGATCTATAAAAAGAGCCGAGGTGGCGCAGTGGTTAGGGTGCAGTACTGCAGGCCACTTCAGCTGACTGTTATCTGCAGTTCAGCNTGGAGAATAGCTGGACTCCCTCTCAATCCAATTGATTCTTAGATTACCGTAGTTCTTACATTGGCTGATTGCCTTTCAGATTCTCTTCGGGGAGTCAAAAAGCTCGATCAGGTTTTTTTAAAAAAAAAATCATAAACGAGCTGCAAATAGCTACTCCATCTCCCCTCCCCACCTTGGTTTTATTTATTTTTTGGTCACGCTGTAGGAATTCGAGCAACTGGCAGAGATAGAGAGTATAACGGTATTAGGAAGCTGAGCTTGTATAAGTAATTAAATTGCTTTTAAGCTGTAGAGGAAGCCAATGGAGAAGCCTTCACCGATGCAGCAGCAGCTGGATTTTTTTAGGGGGGGGGGGGAATTGCATGTAAAATCTAATTATGGTATGAAAGATATGCTCACTCAAATCATTTCATTTCCCCAAACAAACGGGCGTTTCCTTTAAACAGATGCATTCTAAATTTAGACCCTGCTGAATCAAAACATTGACAGGTAGTGAGAATGTAGGGGCGAGAAACCACAGTAACAAAATTCCCCAGCCTAAATAAAAACGGAAGGAGTAGAGGGGTAGCCTAGAGGTGAAGCTGTCGCCTCACAATCGGGAAGCTGTGAGTTCGATCCTAGGCAGAGGCTGGTATTTCCCTCTCTGGGCCCGATGAGAATATATATATCTGCTGAATGTGATCGCCCACTGGCAACAGGGAAAGGCATCCGGCCACTAAATACTCCGCTCCCTTCAGTTGCCCAGGCTTCATCCCCGTAAAGGATGATGGGGGTGATTAAAAGATGATGATGATAAATAAAAATAGAATCCAAAACTGCTTAATTTCAAAGTCTACCGAGATACCATTCCGGACAAATGGCTCTCCAGTCTCTTTTTGAAAACCTCCAGTGATGGAGCATCCGCAACTTTTGGTCGCAAGCCATTCCACTGGTTGACTCTTCTCGCCGACGTGAATTTTTTCCTTAGTTCTAAGTTGGATATCTCTTTACTTCTTGTCCTGTTCTCAGCTGCTTCGGAGAACAAGTTTGACGCCCTCTTCTTTGTGAAAACTCCTCAAGTACTGGTATGTAGAGATTCTCAGTCATCCAAGTCAGTGTTATCCCACAGGTGCTTTTGACCTGGATGACAGAGAATCTCTACGGGCTTTTAGCTCTACAATTTGGGATGAACACCCTGGTGTGGGAGAAGGAATGGCTTTCCAGAGGAAAAAAATGCAGAATGCAGGAACCATTTTGCACCACTCAGGTGACCCTAAGGACACAGAGAAACCTCCAAGCAGCTTCAACGACTCTCAAAATGGATGCCAATGACCAGATGACTGCAAGGAATATTATAAATCCTTCCATCCCCCATTGTCCAGTCAGAGCTGAAGAAGCTTCTTGGATGAGAAGCAAAACATCTTCAAAGAAAAAACAAGGAAGTCCAGTTGCCTCCCAAAAAAAAAGCACCTTTTGGACCCTCAAGTAACAGAAGACAGTTAACGTGTCGCCTCTAATCTTTCCCTTTGATAAGCAGATAGACTTATCTCCCACCACCGTTCATGATGTGATTTAGCCTCGAGAGCCCTCATCATCTTTGTTGCTCTTCTTTGCACATTTTTCTAGGCCTCTGCATCTTTTTTTCTTTTTTCTTTTGCATTGTGGTAACCAGCATTTTGCAGCCAAAGACTTTTTCTTTAAGCTTACACGACCCTTTGTAGCAAAACGATCGAAAAGCTCAGCTTAAATTTCAAATATTTACTTTATTTGCAACTGCCAGAGGGAATTACCGGGATGGAGGGGCGGACGGCTGGCAAATCCAGCTCCCTCAACAGGAACAAAGTGCATAAAAATTTCAAAAAAGGGGGGGGGGAGAGGAAGAACGCAGTCTTGGTGGATTCGGTAACCCAAGGGTGAAAACGAATATGAACCTTTTTTTCCCCCTTCCAGAAAAGAACTGAAAGCCTAGCCTTTCTCCAGACAATTTAGGGAGAAACATGCTGTTTGCACCCTTAGACACAATTACCTTATTCCTCTCTAAAAACCCAGGTTTTGGGGGTGATGCGATTCCGCCTCCTCCGGGGGAGGGAGGGGAGGAATTCCTTGTCAGCCTGACTCCCTCCAGAAGCACAGAGGGAGGGACCAGATTTAAAGAACCAAGTATGTTTTCAGTCCCGTTCAAGGAGACTGGAGAGAAACGGGAAACTGCTCCTTATGCCGGTCCGCCGGATACCCCGGCCGGGTCCAAGTCCGAATGCAGAAGATCAGGAGAAAGAGGACGATCTTGCAGGATCAGTTGAAAAAGTAGATTGATCTCTTCACCTTCTTTAATTTGAAATTGCCTGATGGGGAGAAACGGAGAGATCAGGAAAAAGAAGGTACCGTATTTTTCAGAGTATAAGACACACCAAGGTTTTGAAGAGGCAAATTTAAAAATACAAGTTTTTGCACTCTGCAGACCTCCCAAAAACGGCACATTTTTTTGCAAAAATGGGCCCTTTTTTAAAAAAAACGGCATGAATAGCCTTTAGGAGGCTTGTAGAGTGCTGTTTTTTGCTCATTTCTGCCCTCCCCAGCCTCCAGGAGCACTCGGCAAGTCTTCTAAAGCCTATGCAGGGCCATTTTGGTGAAGGGGACGAGGTTTCGGGAAGTAGAAAATGCTGTATTCAGTGTATAAGACGCACCCAGATTTTCAGCCCCTTTTTTGAGGGGAAATTGTGCATCTTATACTCCCAAAAATATGGTATGCTGGTTGGGGAACATCTTTGCTTAATGACTGCTGCAAAAAAAGCTTGTAAAGGTGGACACAAAAACGGGGTGATCTGCTTAATGACCAACATGACATCACTGCAATTCTGGGATCAATTACAGTGGTAAGTTGGGAACCATTTGTAGTTTAATTAACAGTGGAAATGGATAATCTGGCCCATACAGGCTTGCAGCACTTCATTTAGTGACTGTTTGAAGTTACAAGGGCGCTAAAAAAGTGACTTATGACCGTCTTTCGCACTTATGACCATTGCATCATCTCCATGGTCATACGACCAGTGAATCACGATGGTTGCACTGTCCTGGGGTGGTGGGATCACCTTTCGTGACCTTCTGACCAAGTCAATGGGGAAGCCTGACTCACTTAACAACTGTGTTTTAGCAGCTGCAGTGATTCGCTTAGCAATGTGGCAAGGAAGGTCGTAAAACGGGGCAAAGCTCACTTAACAGCTGCCTTGCTTAGCAATGGAAATGTGGAGTTCAACTGCGATCAAAGGACTACCTGCAAGATAAAATTTAAATCAGCTTTTGAGAGCTCAGGCTTTTTAATCAAATTCCTTCGCTTGAAAAAGCGCCTGGGGTTTTCCATTTTTTTCTTTGCTTAACATAAAGATACCCTAAGATGAACACTAAAGAGGATGTTCATTTGAACTTCAAGGCCTGGAGTGGGGAAAGCTACTGAAGAGTCTCAGCTTTGAGTCCAACAGGGACAAAAAAAAAAAAGAGGAAGTGACAGATTGTAGCTGTGAGCCATGGATTCTCTCCGCAGGTGGGCACATGTCTGCCAACAGGGGCACCCCTGGGAGCCCACAGGATGTGCTTCGGAGGGCACCGATATTGTCTTTCAAACAACGAGGCCCCTGTCGTTTGCTTTAATGCCACAGAAAGGTCTGGGGGAGATGGTCCTCGGAACACCCCGAGAAGCCGTTTTCTTGCCAAAAGCAGGTTTGCAGCGAACGCAAGCAAGAGCAGCATGGCGTGTGGCATCAGGCCCAAACCGAAGGAGTTTGGTGCCCAGGTGAACCGAGAGGCTTTGCTGAGATCAAGTGCAACGCAAGCGAAGGGTTGTAGAAACGGGCACCGTTTCTCTTTCAAAAAGAGAAATATTGGGATAACAGCTTTATCCTGATTCCATAGATGCTTAAAAGAAACATGAAAATGGAGCCAGAGTTATTTTTCTTAGGCTTGATGGGCAAAGAGCTTGAATGAAAATTTGGGGATGGCCTAGAAACTAGGAGACGGTGAGTTCTAGTCCCGCTTTAGGCATGAAATCCAGCTGGGTGAGATTGGGCCAATCATCATGAGACTGGGAGTTCTAGTCCCACCTTAGGTATGAAAGCTGGATAGATGAGGTTGGGCCAATCACCAGGAAACAATGAGTTCTAGTCCCACCTTAGGCAAGAAAGCTGGGTGACGTTGGGCAATCACCAGGAGACAGTGAGTTCTAGTCCCACCTTAGGTATGAAAGCTGGATAGATGAGACTGGGCAAATCACCAGGAGACAGTGAGTTCTAGTCCCACCTTAGGCAAGAAAGCTGGGTGACGTTGGACAATCACCAGGAGACAGTGAGTTCTAGTCCCACCTTAGGCAAGAAAGTTGGATAGATGAGATTGGGCAAATCACCAGGAAACAGTGAGTTCTAGTCCCACCTTAGGCAAGAACATNAGTGCATGCATGCGCGGTGCGTGTCTGGCACACACGCATGTTGAAAACTGGCAATAACGTCAACAGCAACCCACTTCTGGTTCTCCATCCCTGGAGGTTTTTACAGAGAGACTGGACAGTCACTTTTCTGAAATGGTATAGGTTCTCCGGCTTGAGCAGGGGGCTGGACTAGAAGACCTCCAGGGTCCCTTCCAGCTCTATTCTCTTCTAAAACAAATATCAGCCCAAGGGCCCTGGTTGTGTGCGTTCAGGCAGCTTCTACTAGAACAATGCAATCGCTTCAGTCTTTAATGCCTGGAAGAAGCCAATGGGGGCTGCTTGGACCAAGGAATTTAGCAACTGGAGGTTAAGCCCATGACTCACCGCGTCACCAGGCTGAATCTTGCTATTGTACAGCTGGGGAGGAACATGATTCGAGTCACGGTTAACATTGGGGGTGGGGGTGGGGGCTGTAAGAGGGGGAGGCGTTGCGCATGTGAGCACAGCTGGCTGCAGAGTCTGTTCAGTGGTAAGGCTATTATAGGCTTAAGAAACAGCTTCTTACGCATGTTGTACCGCAAAACAATTGAGAACAGAGTGCTGTCAATTTTCACCAATCTTGGCCACTACGGGACGTCAATCACCTGGCTTTTGACACCCCCACCTACTCCTAAAACGCCATCAACTCCCCAAACGAACATTTGCAAAAGAAATTAACAAAAGTGCATCGCATTCGCTTGAAAGGACGCGACCCCTGATATTCCCATACAGGGAGTCCTCGACTTACGACCACAACGGAGCCCAAATTTTCCTGTTTACATGAATTTTGGGCCCCAGCTGACGACCCGTCTCGCTGCAGTTGTTAAGTGAATCACTGCAGTTCTTAAGTTAATGAGGTGGTTGTTAAGTGAACCCGGCTTCCCCACTGCCACAAAACGGGATCGTGTGACACACACACACCCCGGAAACTGCAACCGTCATAAATATGAGTCGGTTGCCAAGCGTCTTGAGTTTTGACGGTGAGAATCGGAAGCATGGAAAACGGTCACAAGTCACTTTTTCGGCGGCCTAACTTCTAACCATCACTAAATGAACTGTTGTAAGTCGAGGATTATCAGCAGAGGCCGTCCTTGACTTACGGCCATTCGTTTAGTGTTAAGTGAATCCGGCTTCCTCACTGACTTTGTCAAAAGGTCGCAAAAGGGGATCCCATGACCTCAGGACAGTGCAACCGTCACGAGTCACTTGCCAACCATGCGAATTTTGATCGTATGGCCATGGAGATGATGCAACGGTCGTAAGTGTGAAAAACGGCAATGAGGCACTTTTTCAGCATAGCTTTGGCCCATTATACAGATGCAGGCTCTGCTTTCTCTTATTTGAATGTTCTCTAGGCCAGAAGTCTCCAACCTGGGCAACTTTATGACTTGTGGACTTCAACTCCCAGAATTCCTCAGCCAGGGCATTCTGGGAGTTGAAGTCCACCAGTCATAAAGTTGCCCAGGTTGGAGACCCTGGCTCTAAGCAGTATGGAAATGATTTGAGTGTTGCTGTGTGTGACATCCCTGTCAAAGCAGGACCACAGACTGTCAGTGGGAGAAGAGGAGAAGCAGATAAGATTAACAAGTGGGCTGTGTTGTGGCCCGCTAGCAGACAGTGAGGAGGTTGGGGAGGAACCTGGGCTGGTCCTGGAGTCTGGGGAAGGCTCTGATGAGGGCTCTGTATCAGAGGCAGAGAGGGGGCAGGAGCCCTCTGACAGTTATCAGCTGCCTTCACAGGCAGACATCAGTGAGGCAGAGGAACAGCTGGAGCCTGTTCCCAGTGTGTGCATGTACAGAGTGGCCAGAGGAAGGGAACAGCTAAAGAACAGGGGTCGACCTGGAAATAAGGCCACAGGTGGACGATGAATGGCCCCTCCCAGAGGAAATAAGAAGGGAGCGAAAGGGGAGTGGAGTTTGCAGGAGACAAGTAGGAGACAAGTTCTGCAGATATCAGCCTGGCAGCTCTCCAAGCCAGATAAGGTCTGTGACCGTAAATCCTCCCTTGAAAGACTTTGCTGGCTGTGAATGAGCAGAATTCAGAGTCAATTAATAAAAGAGTTTTTTGTCAGGACAAGGAGTTCGCTTCATGCTTTTGGGAAGCCTCGGTCAGAACAGTAACAAGGAAGCTTAGAGAGCACCAAGCACCCCTCATTTTAACCCTGAGCTACAAATATTGCCTTCAACTGGTAAAATTTTCATCTTTAAAACAATTAAGCAGGGGCATCCATGGAGGATTTGCACAGCCTTCTCTTACAATCTCCTAAATACTGTATTTTTCGGAGTATAAGATGCACCAGAGTATAAGACGCAGGAAGGTTTTGAAGAGGAAATTTTTTTTTAAAAGTGTTTGCACTCTGCAAACCTCCCAAAAACGGCCCATTTTTTTGCAAAAACGGGCCAGTTTCCCCCCCCCCCAAAATGGGGCATGAATAGCCTTTAGGAGGCTTGCAGAGTGCTCCTGGGGGGGGGGCAAAACGAGCAAAAATGGCCCTTTTTCTGTCAAAAAAAAGGGCATGGATAGCCTTTAGGAAGCTTATAAAGCACTGCTGGGGCCTGGGAGGGCAAAAATGGGCTATTTTTTGCTTATTTCTGCCCTCCCCAGCCCCCAGGAGCTCTCTGTAAGCCGTCTAAAAGCTAAGTACGGCCATTTTGGTGAAGAAGGGTGGGGTTTCTGGAGGCAAAAAAATGCCGTATTCAGTGTATAAGACGCACCCAGATTTTCAGCCTCTTTTTTGAAGGAAAAAGGTGCGTCTTATACTCCGAAAAATACGGTACCTGGTCTCACAAATCAAGGGGCTTTTGAGTCTTACCTTTCTTGGGAATTTTAGGCAGTAAATCTTTCAGCTCCTGGATCCTGGCTTGGACAGCTCGCTGATTCTTTTTCGTTAGCTCGCCTTCAGGTATCCTTTGGGAGAGAAAGGGAACAAGTCAACCAAAGAGGAGCTCAAGGCCATTTTCCCTCAACCTCCTGGGTAAAATCGGTTCCCATCAAACCTAAAAACAGGCAGTTTGGGCCCAATCCTTCCAGCAGAAACTTCACCAAACACTGTTGCTTGAACCGCAGGACAGTGCAACAGCCGTAAATCCGGTGGTGTTGCCAAGCACCCGAAATGTGGCTGCAAGAGTGAGCTGTGGAGTCCAGTTCTCAGACCCTCGTCCTTACGCCGTAAATCCCTTTTTATAGGTAAGTCGCCACTTCGAATGGTTGCTAAGTGACCTGTCGTAAGTGGAGGACTACCTTGTTTCCCCTAAAATTCGACCTACTCAGGAAGTAAGCCCTAGTTCCGTGATGGCGAATCTGGGGCATGCGTGCCCAAAGTGGCCCGTGGAGCCAGATTGCCTGGCACGTGTGGCATGGCCTGTTCCTCATGTGCACCCAAAATGAGCCCTAATTAAGACCCCGGCTGCTCCAGGGTGCAGAGGTAAAAATTAAGCTAGGGTAGGGATGGGAGCAGTGGTGGGTTGCAGGCGGTATGCCCCGGTACGTGCGGATTGGTCCCTGCCGGAAGCAGCAGCCACCGTACTGGAACGGTGCTTTGGAGGGCCTGCCTGCCCTCGTTCCTTATCTGTATTTGAAGGAAACGGGCCATCTGCGCATGCGCGCACGTGCAATGCACGGCTGAGCAGCTGGAGCATTGCAGGTGGTGGGTGTGCATGTGTGCGCAGTGCGCGTGCCCAAGGTGCACGCCCGGCTCCCGTTGCAGCATACCGGTTGCAACAGGAGCCGAAACCGACCACTGGATGGGGGTGGTGGTGTGTGGAGCTGCCCTACTACTTACCTTCAGACAGTCTGCAGCCAGGATTCACACACATTGGCCCATTTCTTCTGCAGGCTTTCCTGAAGGCCTCTCGATCTGGAGCTCTGTTATCGACTGAAGAGGCCTTCAGGAAAGCCTTGCTGGCCTAGACAGATGAAGACGTACCTGAAGGCCTCTGTAGCCGATAGCAGATCTCTGGATCGATCTGGAGAGGCCTTCAGGAAAGGCTTGCTGGCCTAGACGGATGAAGACGTACCTGAAGGCCTCTGTAGCCGATAGCAGATCTCTGGATCGATCTGGAGAGGCCTTCAGGAAAGGCTTGCTGGCCTAGACGGATGAAGACGTACCTGAAGGCCTCTGTAGCCGATAGCAGATCTCTGGATCGATCTGGAGAGGCCTTCAGGAAAGCCTTGCTGGCCTAGACGGATGAAGACGTACCTGAAGGCCTCTGTAGCCGATAGCAGATCTCTGGATCGATCTGGAGAGGCCTTCAGGAAA